ACCCAAACCATTCTATCATTCTATGATTTTAGGCAGAGAACTTTTCCAACAGAAAGGAGAGAAACTTGATAACAAAATCTAAAAAGGTTTTGTTTTTGAACTGCGTTAGGGAAGACCATAGGTACATCGAGACTTTTAAACATCGTGGCCAGGTGGTGTGAAATCAGCATTAGTTGCAGTGAGTTTCTGGGAGTCAGAGGAGAAAAATGTCTCTAATTCTTTCTAGATCCATGGAATAAGGTTTTTTGGTGATGCTTTTTTTTTTCCTATTTTTCTTGGTTAAGACTTTGTGTACATTCCAGTGTCTCGGCTGGGCCATAGTATCTCCGTTCCTGCATTGTACTGGCTGGTGTGATGGTTCCAAGTGTTTGAAATAGTTGGCCCACCACGTCTTACAGCCTTCTGCAAAGTGGACTCAGTGGAAATTATACCATGTATTCTAGTGGCTGTATTCTTACTAGTCTGTTTTGGGATGGTTGTAGGAAAAAAAAATGAAAAAAATTCTCACATGGGCATCCTCCAAGAAAGAGCTTTGTCTGTTTCCAGTCAGATTCTGTTTTCGTGGCACTCTGAATGATTTTTGCAGTTTAATGGCGTGGTACCGCGGTGGTTTTGTGGAAGAGCCGTGTCTGAGTTCCCAGTCCTCTTGGAGATGCGTGTGCCCTTCTCTGCACAGCTGCTCTCTGAAGAGCGATTTGGATGTGCCAAGCAAAGCTGGTGTTTTGGATTTGTTTATTCTTAAGGATTCATTCCTCAAGTCCTGGCTTTCTTTAATAGCAGCTTCAGGAAAATATTTAGGTTAGATGCAAATTATAGCAGCCTTAAACCTAATTTACAGTATATTATGCAAAGTCATCTTATTTTTCCCTTCCTCCCTCCCTGAAGCAAAGAAAAACTCTCCCTTAGTGACTCTCATGCCAGAAACCACAGAGCTTTCTGCATGGAAAAGTTCTCTGGTAATACCAAGCGTGGGGACATCTCAAATTCCAGTAGTTGGTACAATGGATATGACAGTTTCTGGGTTGGTAAAAGAAAAAAATTATCTCTTTCCAGCAGTTGCAAGACCAGTGTCTGCATGGGTAATAAAAAGAAACTTCCGCTGTGTTCTGCCAAGAGGGCTTTCTGCACAAAGCAGCCAGAACCATCCACTTCTCATTTAGTGACATGGGAATGCTGACAATAGTAGAATCATAGAATGGTTTGGGTTGGAAAGGACCTCAAAGATCATCTAGTTCCAACCTCCCTGCCATGGGCAGGGACAGCCTCCCCTACACCAGGTTGCCCAAAACCTCATCTAACCTGGCCTTGAACACTTCCAGGGATGGGGCAGCCACAACTTCTCTGGGCAACCTGTGCCAGTGCATCACCACCCTCAGAGGGAAGAATTTCTTCCTTAGATCTCATGGAAATCTCCCCTCTTTCAGTTTAAAGCCATTGCCCCTTGTCCTGTCACTACATGCCCTTGTAGGTAGGGTTACCACGAAGTAGCAGAGGTATCACGACATCTAAAAAGTTTTTTTGGTAGTTACTTGCCAGTGGGAGAGTGGTATTGGGAGTTCACTCTGGTATGAACCCACAGTCCAGATCCAGCTGAGCTGCTCTTTTTTTTTTTTTTTGTTTTTTTTTTTTTTTTTTTCTCCTTGTGTGCTGGTGCTGGTAGTAAGCCGAATTGGAGAACTGGTCTGACTAAAGAAATTGTTTATGCTAATCTTTATTATAGCTGCTGGTGCAGGGAGGGGGAGGATCAGGCGTGAGTGGGTGGAATGGTCCCTCGTGGCAGTATTGTAGATTTATGTTAGGCTAGATCTTGTATCTACAGTTTGTGATTATGAGTTATCTCCAACCACGTTTAATGGATTGCTTTTTTTCACAGGAAAAGCTTGCATAAACTACTTGGTACTTGCGGTGGCTCAAGGGCTTACAAATACTTTTTTTTAATGCCTTGTGAAAATTATATGGCAAGACATGGAGTTAATGGAATTTTCACTTCTAAAGTTTCTCAGAGGTTTTAATCTAGGTGTCATATCTGAAAAGCCTGCCTACAGGTACTGTGTAAGACTTTTGTGATGTCCAGAGAAAAGGCTTTACATGGAAAAAGGCATCTGTCGTTAGGATATGCGTTTGTTCTTACTGTCTCATGACTGCTGGAATGCTTGAATTCCTCCAGGCCCATAAATTTGCCTAAACCACTATGGTAAATTGACTTTGTACATATGGACTAAAGTCTTCAATGTTTGTTTAATCTTAATAAATTAATAACTCATGTATTTTTAAACATATTTATAACTCCAGTGACACTGCTGTCTTTATCTTTTAAATTTCTATTTAGCCTTAATTTTGCGTGAGCTGTCTGTCCCATTTCTTTGTCTCTGCAGAAAGATTTTTATCTTGTCTAGCTGTACTGATTGAGGTACTCTTCAGTTGTGGCAAACTGATCTTTGACCTGCAGAAGCAAACAAATCTACTTCTAAAAATACGATCTTTGGGATCCGTCCCAGTTATAAAATGCCTCTTTCCAGCAGGACATTATCTGACTGTGTAACAGTGCTAATTCCTGCAAATATTGCTTAATGTATGAAGGGCTTATCTAATGTTTAAACAAATGTAATAGCATCATAAATAAAATTTACTCTGTAGGGTAAATTGTCTTCTTGCATGCTGGGATAAAATTCCGTAAGGGAGAAAAACCATACAGTGTTATCTGATTTTTATCTGCCTTAATGTTCCTTAAGTATTTAATATAAGATACATACCTGCTTCAAGTCCAAGATTTTTTTCTCTCTACAGATACTAAAAGATACTAAGAAATTCCAAAATCTTTTTGCCTTCCCTGTGGTGTGATATAGGAGACCACAGGTACGATTCTTCTCAGAACAAGTGTGTGTTGGTTTCTAGTGGTGACCTAGCTTTGAGACTGGCAACTTTTATTGGAAATCTGTGTCTTACCGGTTCCCAAATTCTCCCCTGTAATTTGGTCGATTGTTTTTGTCCCCGTTGTAACCAAAGATGGGGGCTAGGTTTTCTTTTGGAGTTGAGTCTCTTCGCGCTGCAAACTAGATGTGCTTAGTTGGATGTTTTAATTATGCAGATCAGAGGCTCGATGTTTCCGATGTTGATGGGGTTAGAGCAGGAGGGCAGCGCGTGCCCGTGTGCTCTTCAAACGTGTTTTCCCCGTTGGGGATGTGCGAATAAACCAGCTGCTGGCCCGGGCTGGCGCGGACATTGCTATGATAATAGATGCCATGTGATGATGGAGAGGGGACCTGAGTTTTGTTCCTATGCCGTGTAAAAATCGTGACATGTCTCTGGTAAAGCCTGCAGGCAGCCACCAGTCCAGCTCTCTAAAATGTACCTATTTTAAGGGGCCACCCTGGTCCAGCTCTGTGCTGTCTCCCTTGTCACGGCACAGGACTGCTTGGATACCGTTGCTAGTGTGGTGATTTTGATCTGCCCAGTGTGGAAAGAACGAGCTAATTTCTCTG